GGATCACAGGCGTGAGCCACCGTGCCGGGCGCTGTACTTACCTCTCTCAGCACACATATTTGAATTATGTTTATTTGCCTTCCCTTCTAGATTGTAAAAGAGCTTACTTTATTTATCCTCATAGCTCCAGGGCTAACATAATAAGTAGTGCCTATACCCCTTCAGAAACATTCACTAAATTTAATTGAATTGGGAATAAGGAGGCCTTAGAGAAGTTCACTTTAAAGATACTGCTGCTAATGATAATGATAATAATAATAGCAACAAATATATAGTTATTAATGTATGCTAGGCACCATTCTCAGTACTTTACATATATTACTTCATTTAATCCCTCAATTACTGTATCGGGTAGATTTTATTTTAAGTGACATTAGTAATAACAGTTAACATTTATGGAGCTAAATTACCATGTGCCATACATGATCTCACCTAATCTTCAAACCTCTCTCATAAAGGATATTAATAATTATTCCTATTTTATAAATGAGCAAGTCGACAAGTGAACTAAGGATAAGAGTCTCAGTAGCCTAACTACAGAGCCTACATACTTAACCACTGTACCAGTGATTTTCAAACGGCAGGTAGCAACCCATAAATAAATTTAGTGAGTTGCAATTAACATTGTTTTATAATGAGATGGAATACAATAAAAAATGGACTACCTGACATATAATATTAAAGTAAATATTGCTTTATAAAAACTTTTACTTCATGTCTACATAAATGGAAATTATGTGTATATATAAATGCACGAGGTTATCAAGTAAACTATATTTCTTATTGTTGGTCACTGTCAAAGGTTAAAAAAAAACCCACTGTACTTGGGCAATAATTTTAAAAACAAGAAGTAGCAACGGGTCTAATTCATAGAAATATTTCTTTCAACCCTCTGGGAGTCTGTTCATATATCAGACCTCTGCAGAAAAGGATGACACTGTCCACTTCTCCAAATTCCTGCTGGCTTTGACTTAGGTATAAGATATAGACGACAGTTCTTAGGCTTCAGGATGAGACCTAGCTGATAAATTAGATGTGGCTTGCACCCCATACTTGCAGGGCCTATTGATGAATGGCTCCCATGACAAGGATAACCTTAAGGGTAGAAGTTACAGGAAAGCAAGATGAAGAACTTGTAAATTATTAATGCTGCCCAGAACAGAATGGGTTGCCTTAGGAGGATTTTTCCAAAGAATGGGGGATCTATGGTGGGAGAGATGTAAGCATCTAATGGGATTAAAATAGATTACCTTGAATTGAAGGTATTTTGCAACCCCTGAGATTTTATGATTTCAATAAAATGTGATTAAAAACACATGAAATGATAGAGCCATCTCTTACCTAATCAAATGAATTTCATTCTGAACACCGTTTTAACATTTCTGAGAATTTTTTTTTAAAGACTAATCAAGCGCAGTAGTGAGAAGGGGAGAAAGAGTACAACAAGGAGTTGGATCTATAACTGAACAATTAAGTGAGAGAATTCACTACCTTTGGACCAAGTCTCTCTGAGAATCCTTTTTGAAAACTACCTTTTTTTTTTTCTTTTCTTTCTGTAGGATACACCTCAAGACTACTGAATATCCATCTCAAGTTCCAAAAACCAAGTTATACAATACTTTAGAACTCTTCCACCTCTGTTTGCAAAGTCTCTCTCTGATTGGGAAAACCTTCGGTCCCAGCTGGATTTACAGCTTAGTAATACCTCCAGTTCAAACTGCTGGGGCCTGCTAACGCGAAAAGCTGGGTCTCTCCCACCGAGGCACTCTCTTTCCTGCATCCACAGGGCCGAGCGCCCCCTGCAGTCGGGGACCGAAAAGAAACGGCATCCTCCCGCCGTGGCAACGGTTTCTATGTACAGCGGAGCCAGGACCCGCCGGGAGCGGGGAGCCCCACGGCCCAGCCGCAACGGTCTCAGTTGGCTCCCCAGTCCCTGGTTTGGGTCACCAGGGCTGACTGCGATAGTGGACCCGGGAACTCCAGCGTTGCCACCGCGCCCCGACACCCGCCACCGTCCCCCGCGGCCTGGAAAGCCCAGTGTGTTCCCCGGCCCTGAAGGACGTCCACCCCATGGCTCCCTCTCCCTCGCGGCCCACCGCCCCTTCGCCTCCCCGCCTCGACCTCTCACCCCTGCTCCGGGAAGTAAGGACTGAGATGCGACAGGTCCTCTTTTCCCGGCCGGCAGGTACACACAGGCACTCACCTGGTTCTCAGCGCGCCGCCTCGGAGAGGTCGCGGCCGCCGCACCGACTCT